TACTATACCAAGCACTAAATATACGTTAACGTTTCTGGCTCAAGAACGTCGAACACAATCTTTATACCAGCTTTCTTTATTAGAGAGGACCGCATGAAGCGTATTAACAAGTCTCACATTGCAGAGAATCCGCCTGAATAGTCTGCCTCACTGTGAGCTGGAAGCCATAAGCTAATCTTACGAATTGGTATGTACTCCAACTTATTACTAGTACTGGGATCATACTATTTCGCATCAACTAGGTATGTAACGGGGCTTAGCGCGTCCGTTACCTTGCGTACACAGTTGCGAGGAAGCTGGTAGATATAACTCTGATTAAAGAAAGTTACCGGCGTGGTCTTGCGACCACGCCAACCAGTGAGGTGGAACTAGACTCTAATTGGCTACTGCGGTGGGCGCAGTAGCACCGTGTGACGGAAGCCCGTCACACCATCCCCCACTTTAGAAAGGAGACACGCGGCATTCTTCGTTTGAGATGACAGCGATGAGCGCGCTAGACGACACGACTACGTACGCGGAGACACTGCAGCTTTGGTCGCTGCACGACTGCAGCGACGTCGTGAACGGACGCAGCGTCGAGGAAATGAAGAACCTTTTCGGGAGGTTCCGCGCGGCGCGCGGCAAGTCCGACACTACGAACGCGACCGTGACCCTCCAGTCGTTGGACACAGCTTGGACAGCATTTGTACGACGCTCGAACAAGGAGGGAGGTGATGCCTTCGAGCGGATGCTGCTTGAGCGCGAGGCTGCCCACTCGCGGTTGTCGGTCGGTGCGTTGGCTGCTCAAGTTTGCCAGTTGGCTGTTGACCAGGGGCGTCGATGCTGCACCGCCCATTATGAGGACGGATGTCCACGCTGTCGTGGGCGTGGCGTCCCGCGACTGAGTGCGGCCGAATGGCGCCATATGGTTGAAGACACTGCGATTACCGAAGTGGAGAGAGAGGTGATCGGGCGTTTTTCAGCGAGCGCTGGATGAAGCTAGGCGCGGCGGGCGGCCGCGCCCTCGACGCGATCCGTCGCCGGTGCGAGGCTTGCCTCGTACGCCGCCACGCAGTCCGGCACGTCTGCGAGGAGGACCTCTCGTGGCTCCCAGCTATCCGGCATTGGGCCCAGCCACCGCACCAAGTAGCGCCGCCGGATGGGGGTCGAACTGGCGCGGCGGCGATCGCCGCGACCCGCGGGTGGAGCACGAGGGTCTTCGTGTTTCAGAATACGGTCAACGATATGGCGAGCATTTCCCGCTGTATCCACGAGAGGAGCCGGGCCGTCGCGTTGAAATCGAAGACCGTCGTTTGGTGGGAGGACGCCGCGGAGCTGCGGCGTCTTGCTCGGCGCGTGGAGGAACTGGAGCGGGAGAACCGGGACTTGCGCCATCGGATGCGGGAACAGAGCGACGAGCCGAGAGGGCGCTGGTACGCGGGCGCGGGGGGTTCACCGCGTCGCTAGGAATGATCGCCGGATGGTAGCGTCGAAGTCGGCCGACGTAGAAGGTAGGGTGAAGACGGATAGCCGTAGGAAGCTGCAGTGTGTATGCGTCACCCAATACCTTTAAAATCTTGAATGGTCCAATAAATCGTGGCGCCAACTTGTTGGTGCCCAAATTCGTCACAGATGTAGGTGTAATTCCAGTAGTCGAGAGTAATACTCGGTCGCCCACGTTAAATCGCTCCATATTCTTACGGCCATGTTGATCGGCATATTCCTTCTGGTGATCGACTGCTGCCGCGATCGCGTCACGAACATAGCGGATAATTGAATCACGCTGGTCGATGAAAGCTTGAGCAGCCGCGGTATCACGCGGCTGCGGCTCCGGATTGGGGTCGAAGTTCGCCGGCAGTGATTCGGCGGCTGGTGCCGAGTCTGGAGAGGGTTGAAGCTCGACTGCTCGACGAAGCTGACGAGGATTAATCAGCGTCCGGGACGTCAATTCGGCTACTGTCGACGGTGCCGCCCTCGCGGCGGCACGGGTTTGCATGCCCTGTTGTGCAGTACGGGACACGCGTCGTGTCAGAGCATTGGTCAAGGTAGGGCCGGCGTCGTCGACGGGATCCGCGTAGGGAATGGAGCGCTCCATCCACAGAAGGGCAGGGACGCGGGGGTGTCTTCCGTAGTTGATAAAAAATGGAGTGAATCCCGTCGAGGCGTGGATAGCGTTGTTGATAGCAAACTCGACCATCGGTAGGAAAGAGCTCCAGGACTGGAACGAAGTGGCGAAACTGCGTAGAACATCTTCGACGACTCGGTTGGCCCGTTCAGTCTGGCCGTCCGTCTCAGGGTGCGACGCGGTGGACATCTTCAACCGCGTCCCGAGGAGGAGAAACCGTTCTCGCCAGAAGGCGGCAGTGAAGCGTGGATCGCAGTCGGAGATGATCGAAGACGGCAGACCGTGATGTCGATAGACAATATCCAAGAAGATTGCCGCGGTCTGCTTCGCGGTGACGGTGGGGACGGTTGGAGCAAGATGGACCATCTTGCTAAACCGGTCGACGAAGACAAGGATACTCGTACGGCCTTGTGCATCACGTGGGAGGCCGAAGACGAAGTCCATGCTGACGGACGACCACGGCGCGGTAGCCACTTCGAGTGGGCGAAGTGGCGCTTGCTTCGAGTGCGAGGGCTTCACGCGTTGACACGCTTCGCAGGAGCGTACCCATTTGCGCACCCATTTGTACATGTGCGGCCAGTAGAAGTGGCGCGAGAGTACCGCGACCGTCTTCTCTCGTCCAAGATGACCACTACTGGGAGAATCGTGGAACTCGTGGATGAGACGAGCTCGGAGGTCGTCGTCGAGCGGAACGACGATGCGTGGTAGATCGTCGCGATCGACTTGGTAAGTCAACAGATCTCCATCAAGACCGTGGCGGCCGACGCGGGAACGCGTACGCGTCGACAGGCGCCGCCGCGCCGAGTCGGACGGGTTTTGCAGATACTTGATTATCTCCGTGCACGCCGCGTCGGACTCGTACGCGGCCACTATCATGTTGCGGAGGGGGCAGCTAGCGGAGACTGCAACCGCAGCAAGTTCCTCGGCTGAGCACACGGCACACTCGTCGTCGTCCTCGTCGCCAACAGCTGCACATTCCACTGGTAACACCATGGTATTGATTGAATAGCTACCGCAAATCATTCAGAGCCCACCACATAAAACAAAGGTGAGCCCAGACCTTCACTAATGGAATTTCTGGTGTTATTGTCATTTGGATCAGATGCGGTGCTTGATTTTCCTCCCACCTTCTAGTGGTATGTAGCTTGAACTGGCTAATTTGCTGATGTGCACTTCAATTCCAGTGGTAGACTTTCAAGACGTCACAGCCGTTTAGGTTCTCTCCTTCTTCAGTAGTTCTGGTGGCTTTAAATGGAACATTGATCAAATATGTCTGTTCGGCGCCAAGCAGCCCGCTAGCTCACTTCCCTCTTATCGGATGGTGATTCGAGCAAATATCGAACCAACGTCTCGTTTGACACTTAATGCACAAAATGATTGACCCATGCGTCC